CTTTCTGTGATAAATTGTATACTTCTTGATAACGTCGTTAGCTTTCTGTGATAAAATTGTATATTTCTTGAAAACATCCATCAGTGTTGAGTGATATTTTTTAATTTTAATGATAATGCAGCTTTCTGTGATAAAATTGTATACTTCTTGATAACGTCGTTAGCTTTCTGTGATAAAATTGTATATTTCTTAAAAACATCCATCAGTGAAGAGTGATATTTTATAATTTTAATGATAATGCAGCTTTCTGTGATAAAATTGTATACTTCTTGATAACGTCGTTAGCTTTCTGTGATAAAATTGTATATTTCTTAAAAACATCCATCAGTGAAGAGTGATATTTTATAATTTTAATGATAATGCAGCTTTCTGTGATAAAATTGTATACTTCTTGATAACGTCGTTAGCTTTCTGTGATAGAATTGTATATTTCTTGAAAACATCCATCAGTGTTGAGTGATATTTTTTTTTATAATTTTAATGATAATGCATCTTTCTGTGATAAAATTGTATCTTTCTTAATAACGTTGTTAGGTTTATGTGATAAAATTATATCTTTCTTGATAACGTTGTTAGGTTTCTGTGATAAAATTATATCTTTGTTAATAACGTTGTTAGGTTTATGTGATAAAATTATATCTTTCTTGATGACGTTGTTAGGTTTCTGTGATAAAATTACATCTTTCTTAATAACGTTGTTAGGGTTATGTGATAAAATTATATCTTTCTTGATATCGTTGTTAGGTTTATGTGATAAAATTATATCTTTCTTGATAACGTTGTTAGGTTTCTGTGATAAAATTATATCTTTCTTGATAACGTTGTTAGGTTTCTGTGATAAAATTATATCTTTCTTGATAACGTTGTTAGGTTTCTGTAATAAAATTATATCTTTCTTGATAACGTTGTTAGGTTTCTGTGATAAAATTATATCTTTGTTAATAACGTTGTTAGGTTTATGTGATAAAATTATATCTTTCTTGATGACGTTGTTAGGTTTCTGTGATAAAATTACATCTTTCTTAATAACGTTGTTAGGGTTATGTGATAAAATTATATCTTTCTTGATATCGTTGTTAGGTTTCTGTGATAAAATTATATCTTTCTTGATAACGTTGTTAGGTTTCTGTGATAAAATTATATCTTTCTTGATAACGTTGTTAGGTTTCTGTGATAAAATTATATCTTTCTTGATAACGTTGTTAGGTTTCTGTGATAAAATCATATCTTTATTGATAACGTTGTTAGGTTTCTGTGATAAAATTATATCTTTCTTGATAACGTTGTTAGGTTTCTGTGATAAAATTGTATCTTTCTTGATAACGTTGTTAGGTTTCTGTGATAAAATTGTATATTTCATGATATCGTCGTCAGTATCATCTGATAAAATTGTTTATTTCTTAATAGCATCATCAGTTCTCTGTGATATTTTTTGTATATTTCATGATAACAATACAGTTTTCTGTGATAAAAGTGTGTTTCATTTCATTTCTCTCGAGTACACTCAATAGTTTGTCCATGCTGGCCTCATCTGGGGCTAATAAACCTTTTTCATCATCTAATATAGAAATCTACAAATTGTCAATAAATTCTTCAACTTCTTTGATAAATTTAGAAAATAATTCCTCTGTAATGAGATAAATTAAACTACTGAGTATATGGAGAATAACAAGATAATTAATAAACAATAACAATCAATATCAAACTGAGTTTAAATTCACTCAAAATTCTCAACAAATCAATGACATAGAAAAACTGAAAAAGTTTCCTTGTTGAAAGAAATTCGAAATCAAACAAATGAAGAATAAAAATGGAAGAAAATGAAATGTTTATAATAAGTTATCAAACATTAGAATAAAATGTTTATAACATATTGAGACAAACATTGACACTTTCTCTAAATCATAACATGTCTTATATTTTGACAATGTCTTTCACATTTTTGAAACATTTGTGATATTAAAAGTAAACAATTTTAAATTTTAAGTTGCTTCTTATTTATCTTGTGTATTTTCTCAACATAAATTCATTTAAACTAAATAAAAACTATTATTGTATGTGGGAAGATTTCATGGATATTTGGACTGAAAACAAAGTGACTTGTGCTCGAAGCCTGGTAGGCGCCATGGATATATTTAAAGTGGTAATATTGGTAAACATCAAATATTTCAAAATATCCAAGGAAGATAAATCGAAAGTATTTTGATATCTCTTTTCAAATTATGAAATTTATTTGATATTTAGAATAGAAATTATGAATTTGCAACGTGTTATCTAATAGTCTCCTTTTAATTCTAGTGAAATATTGATTTTTTGATCTGTACATGTGGTAGGCACCATGGAGATATTTTAAGTGGTAACATTGGTAAACATCAAACATATTCAAGATATTCAATATTTGTTGGTAAAATTACAAAGTTTAAGATTATCAGATTAAAAGAAGTGGATTATCTCTAATTCATAGTTCACTATTGATATTGACAGCAAGTGGTACATTCTGTGTCTCGTCATTTCTAGATTGAATTAAATCAAAGCCTAGAATCACTTTCAGATTTTAATTTTTTATAGATCATATTAAGGCAAATTTTACACAACGCCTAAAGGACCATGAGACCATTTTAAGATTAATCCAATCCCAAATCGAATCCTTATTCCACAATCAGTACCAATCTCCCAGTGGGAGGTACCACTGAAACAAAATTAATATTTTCGATTCCTTTTAACAGATATATTAGCAATGTTAAATAGTAAATCTTCTGAAACGAGAAATTTGAACCACTGAGTATATGGAGAATAACAAGATAATTAATAAACAATAACAATCAATATCAAACTGAGTTTAAAGTAAACTATTTAATCTTCTGTTTGCTTAACAGTTTACAAACAAACTTCTTGACAGCTGATTATAAAATCAAGTGCAACTTTCTAAGATCTTCAGTATTCATTAACTTCTCTTACTTCCTACATAGCTATATTACAAATATGGAGTTCTTTCATAATCGTTCACAAAATCTAAATTTGAATAGTACTTTAAAATATGAGGACAGCTACGTCAATTCCTTACAATTTAATGGATATCAACTAATGCGACCATCTTCAGTGATCAATGACCCTGTTTTTGACAGTCATATACCATCAACACCACCTCATTTACGAGTAGCATCACGTAAGACTCCCCCTACGGTCATCAGAAGGTATGTATTTTCTATATTATTAATCAATTTTAACATGATCTCATTTTTGGTGTTCCAATAATTTTATATTTCAATATATAATAAGACTTGCTATTTCCTTTAATTCTGCATTTCCATGGATCAAAACAATAGCCAAAATGTCAACATGTTATCAACTGCAATATACAATATTAAAAAGCTTACATAATGGTATTATTACGTACCACAATTAGTTGTCAGTCCGGTTACTTCTGACCCTTCATTCAATAAGACTTACCAATTAATATTGAAGTAACTGTATCGAGAAAAAACAGTTATTCGGTCTATAAAAGTAGAGGATATGAAAGAGGGCTAATTATGTAAATATACCTGTAATGTCTAAATGAACACATGTTAATCGATTTCTTTATCAAATTAACAATTATTTAAGTAATAACCATCTGCTGCCCGTTGCTCACTATCAGTTAGTGTATCATAAGGTTTTGACCACCAACAAGTGTACTTGTGTTGAATCGTTTGGAATAATCATTCCTTTTCCTTACAGACGGTCATCTATATCATCCACATCAAGCGGTATGAGTTCCTCCAGTACAGAATTAGATGAAAATAAATTGCAGCCATTTACAACCTATCGCTTGAAACCGATTTCACAAAAAGTCAAAAGCATGGTGGTAAGTTAATATTTATTGAACAATTTTCTTAGTATTGTTATTTAGGTTGCAGTTTGACTCTGTTGAAATGAAGTGCGTGATATTAATTTCATTGTGCCAGAGTAAAGCAAGTACATGCCATTTAATTATACTTTACCATGTTTTTCAGATGACTCTAACAGAAAGAGGACTGGTATGTCTCGAATTCTTAAAAGTGAAAAATGGAATTGAAACTATTGTAGAGACATTTACAGTGTCACAGGATGGACAAGAGATTTCTATCATGTACCCAAGACAGAGCAACGAAGAATCAAACCACAAACGGAATAAAGCCTATTCCATTCAAGAGCTTCCAGAAAGATTTCATAAGAAATATGAACACGCAAGAAAGTTTGTTACATTGATTCAATCAAAAACACCAAAGGTAACCATGTACAATCAACAAGCTAAATGTATGTTGATGGAAAATGCACCAATCGCCAGCTTTGAAGTTCAATTTTATAATGCCAGAGTAAAGCAAGTACATGCCATTTAACTATTCTTTACCATGTTTTTCAGATGACTCTAACAGAAAGAGGACTGGTATGTCTCGAATTCTTAAAAGTGAAAAATGGAATTGAAACTATTGTAGAGACATTTACAGTGTCACAGGATGGACAAGAGATTTCTATCATGTACCCAAGACAGAGCAACGAAGAATCAAACCACAAACGGAATAAAGCCTATTCCATTCAAGAGCTTCCAGAAAGATTTCATAAGAAATATGAACACGCAAGAAAGTTTGTTACATTGATTCAATCAAAAACACCAAAGGTAACCATGTACAATCAACAAGCTAAATGTATGTTGATGGAAAATGCACCAATCGCCAGCTTTGAAGTTCAATTTTATAATGGACGAAAGATAATCAATAATTGGAGTGGTATGAAATTAGTAGATGAACAGCAGGGCAGTATTTTGTCTCTATCATCACCTAGTATTCAGCAACAATTCAGTAACGAAATCCAACAAATGATAAAGTTTGCCGAACAGTGTCAGCAACAATGTGTTCAATTTGAAGCTTTAATAAAATCTACTGCAAGCTGCGTTGATGATAAAAACGAACTGTTCCCAGTAATTATTGGAAAGTAAGTACAATTTTATTTCATTTCGCATAACATTGAAATACAAACTTCTCCATTTAGAATACTCGCCCTCCGTTGTATTGAGTCATCATTAAAATTGAATATCACAATATATTTCATGTCATATCTCACTTTTTTTTAGGAAACCCACTTCTATTTCTGTGGTGGAGGAAGCAGTACCATTCCAACCTAAACCCAACCCAGTTAACATCAGTACCATAAGTAGTATCACATCAAGTAGTTGTTCTAGCTATTCCTCAGATACAGGCAGTAGTGTCATTAGACAGATTAGAGTTCCAAATATTGGACTAGCCTCTCAACTCGATAATGGTGATATTTGGGTAGAATTTGAAGATGGGAGTGATTTGGGTATCAAACCAACCGTCACAACTGTAACATATATCAACCAAACCGGTGTAATGACAAAGTAAGTGTATTTTTTGAACTTTGAAATAATTGATGCAACTTACTAATCAGCAACACGAATAAACCAGATTTCAGAAGCAAACGTATTCAAACATAATAAAGATAAAAAAAAAAAATAGTTTTTCGATTTATACTTAATGTTTAATTTTAATCTTTCAGATACAGAAAATCTCAGCCACTTCCAGACAACGTAAAAGCCAAACTTGCTTCCGTTCCAATAGTTCTTGAGCAGTTAATGACCTCACAGAAAGCAGAAACTATGTCTGAACAGAGTTATTAGAAATCAACATGTTACTTGGCATATTTATAGTTCTATATTATTGTTATGTTTTTGTTATTGTTATTGTTTAAATTGATGTTATTTGTTATTTTCAAACTGAAATCGTATATTTATTCATCTATAAACCCTAATTATATATCTGTGCCATAATTTTTATAACTAATCATTATTGGTCTGTGATAAAATATTATATGTTATTTTAAATTCGTCAGCTTTCTGTGATAAATTTGTATATTGCATGATGAGATAAAATGTTACATTTCTTATTCGCTGTGATATTATATTTCTTTAACGTCGTTAGCTTTCTGTGATAAAATTGTATATTTCTTGAAAACATCCATCAGTGTTGAGTGATATTTTTTTTTATAATTTTAATGATTATGCAGCTTTCTGTGATAAAATTGTATCTTTCTTAATAACGTTGTTAGGTTTATGTGATAAAATTATATCTTTCTTGATAACGTTGTTAGGTTTCTGTGATAAAATTATATCTTTGTTAATAACGTTGTTAGGTTTATGTGATAAAATTATATCTTTCTTGATGACGTTGTTGGGTTTCTGTGATAAAATTACATCTTTCTTAATAACGTTGTTAGGTTTATGTGATAAAATTATATCTTTCTTGATATCGTTGTTAGGTTTCTGTGATAAAATTATATCTTTCTTGATAACGTTGTTAGGTTTCTGTGATAAAATTATATCTTTCTTGATAACGTTGTTAGGTTTCTGTAATAAAATTATATCTTTCTTGATAACGTTGTTAGGTTTCTGTGATAAAATTATATCTTTGTTAATAACGTTGTTAGGTTTATGTGATAAAATTATATCTTTCTTGATGACGTTGTTAGGTTTCTGTGATAAAATTACATCTTTCTTAATAACGTTGTTAGGGTTATGTGATAAAATTATATCTTTCTTGATATCGTTGTTAGGTTTATGTGATAAAATTATATCTTTCTTGATATCGTGTA